CCTGTGACTACCAGGTAGCCTCCCTACAGCCCGAGTCAAGTACAGCAAACCGACAGCATCTCTCAGGATGACTCGAAGAATAAGAATATATTCGCGATTCTAGATCGGGCAGCAGACCGAGTTCAGAGCTCTGTATTCAACAAACGAACGCGACTGATGATTCCAAATCGTTTTCTGTGAGTATCAGCTCTGTAGCTGTCGTACAGCTCGAGTTAAGTACAGAAAACCGAGAGCGCCTGTCAAGATGACTCGAATAATACGAACAGGTTTGCGGACCTAGCTCGGCTAGCAGACCGAGTTCAGACCTCTTAATGCAACAGGCAAACGCGCCTGATCATTCTGAATCGATAAGGTGTGCTTACCAGCTCTGTAGCTGTCCTGTATCTCGAGTTAAGTTCAATATACCGAGAGCGCGTATCAAGATGACTTGAAACGGACGATCCCGCCTGCCTGCTTTTTGGCAGTAAAAGGTACCCGATCGAGCTGAGATCAAGATGGCGAGCAAGAATAAGATCGAATATCTTGGAAAGAAATACTAGAGCTCAAACGAATTGTTGAATTTCGAGAACAAAATTTTCAACCGACCAAAAGTCATCAAAAGTTCAGTCGATATTTTTCTTGCCAACTAGCTCTCCAGCGCCCCGGAATTACTCTTAAGCTTCCAGCGATAACTTGCTAAGGGAAGCTCTACGAGTTATTAATGAGACAGCAGCGAGTTGTTCGGCATACGCATGAAATGCATTCAAACGCGCCTCTTGCGCGCGCGTGTCGACATCGATCGAACGCCCGCGCGCGCGGTCGCGAGAAAAGAAAAACCCGCGCGACGCAGAGCGAAGCGCCGTCTCGCGCGCGAGCCGGGCGCCCTGCAATCTTTCAAAAACCGATTCTCAAAAACGACTGCCCCGAACACGTTGCAAAACAACTGGCCTTGCAACGTCGGCTTTTAAACGGCGCCCTCGCTCGCTCTCTTGCGATTTCAGAAGGCGGCCAAGAATGCCGATATCTTCCAAACGCCCTCGCGCACGTGCTCCGGGGGGAGATGGGGTGCGATCCGCGTCGAATAATGCCGCGTCGGGCGCGCCGTCGTCGGCGTCGTCGCGACGCCGCGCCCGCGGAAACTCGCCGACTGCGCGCTGAGATGCGCCCGGCGGCCAGGGCCGCCGCGGCCGCGTCGGTCGCGCCGAACTAGCTGGTCGCCGCGCGCGCAAGCATCCGCGGACTAGCGCGGCCCTAGAAACGCACCAGCCAGCGCCAAGTACTCGTCAAAATCGCAGCCGCACGGGCGCGGCAAACCAGGTGGCGGGAGGGCGGGCGGGATGATTGAACCCGTTGATCAAAAACATCAGTTCGCAAAAACCCAGAGCAAAACTTCAACGAAAGGCGCGCGCGCCGTCGGGCGCGCGTGCCCAAACAGACGTCGGCGTCGCGCGGATTTCAACATCGGCGACCCGAGAATCCACCGGCACGATTCTCATAACCAAAACAGCGTGCGCCCGGGCACTTGCAAACTCTTGAGATGCCGCCAAGCGGGCCTCTCGCGCGCGCATTTCGAAATCGCCCGATCGCCTTTGCGCGTGCTGTCGCGAGACCCCCCTTGCCAAACAACTGAGGCGAAGTCGCGCGCGTCGTCGCGCGCGCTTCAAACTCCGCGTCAACAACCTCAGGCGTCGCAAGGATTTCCAAAACGACAGCGCTGGTCACATCAAAGACATATGGTTTGTCATCGGCCAGCGTCGAAGAAGCCCGCGTTCGCGCACTTGCGGGCTCGTCGGCAAATTACCGTGTATATATATGTGTATATATATATATATACGATCTCGTCGTCAAACTTTGCCAAGCATGCCCCTCGCGCCGCATGTCGGACTCATCCGGGCGCCCCTGCGCGCGGGCCTGGGGTGGTGGGGGGGGGGGGGGGGCCGCGTCGAACGATGCCGCGCGGGCCGCCCGCGCGCGTCGGCCGATCTCCTTCGAAAGCCCTCGCCGCCGACGCGAGGGCGTTGTCGCCGTCGTCGGCGAGCGCGATCGACATCGGCGTCGCCATTGGCCTCGCCGTCGCCATCGTCGCCGTCGCCACCATCATCCCTACTCTCGCCATCGCGCCCGCCGTTGTTGGCGTCGCCATGAAACCGCGCCCAACCGCGTCAACGGCCCGCGCTGAAACCTGCTGGGAGTGCCGAGCGGCCAGCGCCGACGCGGCCGCGTCGGTGGCGCCGCGCTAGCTGGTCGCTGCGCGCGCGAGCACGCGCGAGCTAGCGCAGCGGCAGAGATGCACCAGCCAACGCGACGCACTCATCGCAATCGCCGTCGCATGGGGTCGGCAGACCAAGTTGGCGGTGCGCGGATGGGATGTTTGCGCGAGCAATGGAGTTGACAACTTCACGCTTGGCAGGGCGAATTGCGCCGCGCAAGACGCGCCACGCAAATTGTCCCACATGGATTGCCGCGCGTAGATGGGGCCACATTGATCCCCCCACACAGGTGACGCAACACCTATATATACATAACATAACGTATACTATAACTCTACAGATGTGCGCGGCACTTGCACACCGTGGGGACCACAACATACATTGCACAACGTTGGTCGCTCCACATCGATGATTACGTCGCGCAGAAAGCACCATGCATATTGTTACAAGCCCACTGTCTGGAGCTCACGCTAACGAGCCACACTTCATATTTTCCATGTGACAAATAATGGTTTTGAATGTGTACCGTCTGCTTCCTGTAGTCCCGGTAGGCTGCTGCGGTTGCGCGGCGATTTCAGTGCCGGCCCCGTGGGGCCGTGGAAACTCTCAAAAGAAACCAGAAAGCCAAAACAACATTGAAACGCCTATGTATTACATGGCAAATAACAGTGGAGAAAAATGTGCGGCTGACGCTGTCATTATAGGTGGCAAGCCCCCCGTAGTTATAATCCGTTTGCAAAGTCGTTGCGCAAATGATGTTGTGGGACGGATGCTGCAAAATGATGTCGCGTGTGGCAGCCACGGCAGACGCCTTTTCCATCAAACCCGTATGGCAATTCGCAACATCAAAACTGTCCGTGTGCAAGGGTTACTACAACAAGGAGTTCAAACGTACAATATATGCATCATGGAAGCGGGGGAACCAGAGGTCAGCCTAGCGCTTCCAAAATTTCAGATGCGAAAGGACATGAGGAACCATGTGCTCCTATTTTTCCTGTGTTCCAGGTAAGCTTCCGCGGCCTCGAATCGATCTAAGTGGCGGCTCCGTGGGGCCGAGGAAGCCTATCACGAAAACCAGGGAAAAAAAAATGTTCTCATATTGAACATGTTGGAAGAGTGGGGGGGAAACATGTGGTTATTGCTAGCCCTCTTGGCTTCCGATCCCCACACTTCAGATCTTTTTTCTCTAATATTGAGGCACGAGGAAGATGTGTGGTAAATATGTTATAACACGATGTCAAGTGAGGCGGCCGCGGCAGATGTCCCGCATGCCAAGCCCGTTTAACAAGGTCGCCACACAATGTAATCAGATGGAAGAGCTATGTCATAATGGCTTCAAGTGTGAAGGGGCTGACAAACAAAAAAAACAGCAAGAGTCACAGGTTGCCCTAGATATTTCTTCGTTGTCCATGTGAAACACACGATTCGTATGGTGTTTCCTATGTGTCCTGTAGTCCTGGCATATAACCATCCACGGCCCCACAGCACTGTCCCTGGAGAGTCTGGACAACCAACATCAATGCGCACATGAATTGAACATTGGCATCACGTGTCCGGATTTGCCATGTGGATTCGGTTGTGCTACGTTTCAAGCTGGTTTTATATGTGGGGGATCTCAGCGGCGGCGCCGTGGAACAACTGAAATAATATCGCACGTCTGCCTTTACATGGCTCAACGCGTACGCGCACTAGGTTTTTACATATGCAGCGTTCGTGTTCAACAAACTGTACATGTAAGTAGAAACAAACAAAGAAAACCGGTTGCAATCGCAAATAAAAAAGTCCTACGGAAAAGGGGCCTCATCAACACAACAAGACGCGGCACAGAAAACGTGCCAAGGTGGGTCCCGGGAGGAGTCCAGGGACCAATTTCGAGTGGATGTCGGGGGGCCTCGCAGAAGAGGCTTCTGAAACGCAGCGGGGTTGTCAGTCTAGAAGGCCGCCCCCCTCGCCCCGCACCCATTTGCGCTCCGAAAACGCTCGTGGCGAGCCCCGCGGGACCATGTGCGAGTGAAAGGCCGCCAAGTTGCGGTCGAAGCGCGGAGAGCTCGGCGAAGGTGGTGGACTGCCCTGGCGGCCGCTTCTCTGCTTTCCCGGCCTGCTGGCCCACTCGAGGTCGCCAAGCGGTGAAGCTGGGCACTGCGCAATGAGATACTGATGAGTTCCTGATTTGTCTGCTGACTGGCCAAGCGAATAACATGACAACATGTGCATCAACAGACGCAAGCGCATATGACAACTGTAGACACTAAAACGAATACCATTTTCCTACCTGCAACGTGCCCTGGCATCTCATCTAAAGCCACCAGCGATCCCCTCAGCGGCCTGCCGTGCGCACTGCAATGGCAGTGCAGGCACCCCCTGGGCAGGCCGAGTTGAAAGCCACTCAGATCCTCTGCGCAGAAGTATATACTTGTAGCCTAGAGCCTAGAGGGCACTGGCGAAGGCTAGACGGCGGCGGCCCAGCCAGGGGGGCGGACGACAACGGCCACCTCTGGACTTGCGAATAGCCGCAGGCGACAGGAGGGGCAAGTCCCTGGCCGCCACGCAGCAAGAGAGCGGAGCCTGAAGTGGACGACGATCCCGCGCTCGGTGAGACGGGCTAGCTGCACAGCGTGCTGGAAAACCCTGGTACCGTCCCGAGGGGTTGGGCCGTTCCCTACAGGGGCGGGACAAGGTAAAAACGGGAGGAGTTGGGGGGGAAGTGGGCAACACGCTGCTGCGGCAGCTCCTGCAGCCCACAGGCAGTGCGCGGCGCCTCGCTGGAGGACGCTCTGCCCGCCACAGAGCAGCTGGCCCGGACGCCCCAGGTCAGGTCTGCATGCACTCGAGGGCCTTCTTGGGTAGCCAGCCTTCCGAGGGGCCGTCCAGCTGCTTGGGACCCAGGCGCTCACCGTACACCCAGCCGCGGTCCGCCTCCTTGGACACGGCGATGATCTCGCCCCTGGTCACGCCGAGGGTGTTGGCCCCCTCGGCAGGCCAATCCACAATCACCCGGCAAAGGCTCACCCGCTTCACAACGGCCTGAGGCACCCAGCCCTCCGAAGCTGGCTTCGAGCTCCCCAGCTGGACCGTGCCCGCGTAAACCCAGCCGTGCTCGGCACGGAACGACACCGTAACGAGGGTGCCCCTGGTCACCCACAGCTGGCCTGGCTGGTCTGGCTCCCAGTCGTGCGTGGTGAGGTGGAGCTGCCCCTCGCCTGCCGCCGCCGCCGGCCCTGCGGTGCCAGGCTGAGGCTGAGCAGCTGCACTGGGCAACGGCTGCGCCGCAGCCCCAGCCTGCTGGGCCGGCTGCGCCAGCGCCTGCTGTGCCTGTTGGGCCGCCCCAGGCGCCGGCGCCGCCACGCCAGCCACCGCGACTGGCGCAGTGGCTCCTGGCATGGGCGCCGCCTCTGCGAAGGCCATCGGCTGCGGCGCTGCAGCAACGTAGTGCTGCTGACCGTAATAGGGCTGCGGGGGGTACTGCAAGGGCATCCCGGGAAATTGTGGGCCGTACGGCATCCCAGGAAATTGCGCGCCGTACGGCGCGGGCGCTCCGTAGCCAGGTTGCGCGTAGCCAGCAGCTGCAGCGGCTGCAGCGGCGGCATCCTGAACTGGATCCTGGCCATAGTAATCCGCCATAATGCTCTCGGCACAATTGGGCGCTTTGGAGTGCAAGCTATGGATACTGGAAAGCGACTGCCCCGAGATGATTATGCCTTCACATAAACACATCGGGGCAGGCGCTTTCAAGAAATTGTTCCCTGGCGATATTTCCAATGCTGTTGGCCTAAGAGAGCCCCAAGATATCCCAAGACCGCCATTCGACGAATGCTAGATGCCTCGAGACCAGCCTCAGACGGCTCAGCAAAGCCCCCAGAGGCCCCAAGATACTTGCAAGACTCCCCCCAGAAGCTCCCAAAGAGCAACCCAGCACGGCCCTCAGAGGCGCTTTGCGTTTTAGAAGATCGGCTTCACATGACCGCAGAATAGAAGACAAAATCGCATACATACAAAACTTTCGACGGTCCACGCGGATCTCTTGGATTTGCCCTTGACCCCTCCCTGGCGCGCGGAGCGCGCCAGAGGCAGCGCTGAAGACGCCGTCAAGGGGGAGGGTCAGCGCCGACCCACGAAATCCGCGCGAGGCTCCGAAAATTTGTATGTTGATGCTGTTTTCCGCTCTTCTGAGAAAGGCGTCACAGAGGAACAAGACGCCCCGAAGAACGCCCAAGACGTGCCCGAAACGGCCAAGGAGCCTCCCAAAACCACGGTTCAAAACCACGCCCCAAAACCAAGCCTTCCAACCAGGCCCGAGGCAGCCCCTAGAGCCGCCCAGACGGCCAAAGGCGGCTCGGCGAGCCGCTCCGTGAGATCTTGGTAGAATCAACGCGTCCAAACCCCCGGCAGGGCCGCCCCAAAGGCATTCCAGAAACACCCCGAGGACCCCAACGTAATACGAAGCCACGACAGGAACAATATCGCACCGGGACAAATCGGGAATCCAGCGGTTTTGGATGATGTACAGGGCGCCGCGGACATTGCAAACCGCTCCCTAACACTCTGAATGTTCCGGAACGCTCTATATGGATGAATCCCGGTACTGGACCCGTCCGACAACAAGCCGAACAAAAACAAAACAACGTCACCAAGGAGCCTCCAGGAAACCTAGGAACAGCAATCCAGCAGCCACGAGACGCTGCAGCGTCGTGGCGATACCTCCTATACAGCTTGAGGATAGTTTTGCTGAGACCGTTCGGGAGAGCCTCGAACAACTGTATTGCAACGAGTTCAATGCTGCGCTAGCATGGTGCGGGGTGTGCGCTGGCAACTGGATACGCTGTGGGTGCCAATCCCTGAGGCAGCACGCTGGCAACCTGCGTAGGCAACACGTCGACTTCCCTTGCCACGAGCCTGTTCCGCTCCTTCTTCCTGTGGTGGTCTCGCTCGATCGTGAATTCCACCGCCGTGCCAACCCCCAGCTCCGCTTGCTGGGAGTTTGCCGTCAGGCTGTCCCGGTGCAAAAACAAGTCTCCAGCGAACTGGTCGCTGTTCACGAACCCCCAGGCCCCCTGGAACGACCGGATGTATCCCCGCAGCCTCTTCCCGACGCAGTCGCTGGCCCGCGACTGTGCCTGCGTCGTGATCTGCTTCGCGACCACGCGGCCACGATCATCCTTCGCCACGTCGAAATCGACGGCCTGCCCCCCTCTCAGCGCCACTTCGGACACTTGTTCGGGTGAGAGGAGCAGGTTGTCTCTGTGCACAAAGAGATCACCATCGAAGGCAGCAGAGTTCAGGAAGCCCCAGCGGTCTGCGAATCGGCGGATGTAGCCACGGTGCCTCTGCCCGAGGCACTCCTCCGGCTTCCGGCCCAGCAGCGGTTTCACGAAGGCCGCCCGTGGCTTCCCAGTGGGCCCATGGTCCCTGGCCTCCTGCACGTCGAACTCCACGGCCTCACCCTCCTTCAGAGGGTGCTCCTGGAACTCTGGCATGACGCCCGAGGGGCTTGCGAACAGGACCTCGCCCTCGCATGCGGGGCTCGTAATTACGCCCAGGCCCCCCGAAGCAGGCCTGGCAACCACGCCGGTCAACCTCTCGTGCCTCCTGCGGGGACCAGAAAGTACCCTGGCAACGTACCCAACCCACCTGGAACAAATGAGCAGCAAAAAGGTGCCAACTTTTTGGTGATGACGTAGCAAAGACCGCGAGTTGTTGTGAGAGCTACATGGGAGGCTCGCGCGTTGCAATCCTCACAGGACACCTGCAAAACGACGACGGCGGGATGGATACAGATGTTGCCTCAGGCTCGAAAGGGAAGGAAACAGTTTCGCAGCTCGCAGCACGAAGAGGCGGCGAGGTCTCATTTTGACCGGGAGCCCAGGAAAGTGGCGACAGCGTCGCAGATCGCAGCCCCCAAGGACGGGGAGGTCTCATCTGGTCTGACTAGAACATCGTTCCGCTTTGTCCTCCCCGGAGCCCGTGGAAGTGGCGATGGTTTCGCAGTTTACAGCAGCCAGGGGCGGCGAGGACGCGTTTATTCTGACTAAGACGTCGCTCCGCTGGACCTCCCGAGAGCCAACTGACTGACTGCAGTCTCGCAACTCACGGCCCCAGGGACGGCGAGACCTGCTCTAATCTGATTCAGACCTCACCCCGCTGGACCTCACAAAAAACCAGCGAACGTGGCGACGGTGTCACAATTTGCAACATCCAAGGGCGGCGCGGTCTCATCGGATCTGAGCAAAACGTCAAGTCGTTGGACCTCCCAAGAGTCCACGAAAGTTGAGAGGATGTCGCAGTTCGCAGCCCCCAGTGGCGGCGAGGTCTCCTTCTGATCTAGACAAGACGAAACCCCGCTGGACCTCCCAGGAGCCCACAGGAGTGGCAATGGTTTCGCAATTCGCAGCACGCAGGGACGGCGAGACTTCGTTCGATTTGAATCAGACGTCGCTCCGCTGGATCTTCAAGGAGCCCAGTGGTGGCAGTTTCGCAGCTCGCAGCCCCCAGGGGCAGCGAAGGCTCATCTGATATGATGAAGACGTCACACCGAGGGACCTCCCAAGAGCCCACGACAGTGGCGACAGCGTCACGAATCTCAGCCCCCAGGGACGGGGAAGTCTCACCTGACCTCAACAGGGCTTCATTCCGCTGGCCCTCCCAGGAGCCCACGAAAGTGGCGATGGTTTCGCAGTTCGCAGCCCCGCAGACACGGCGGGCGGGGCGGTGACAGGTGGAAGGAGGAGATAGGACGGGAAGAGAAGAAGATTGCAACTCTCTGTTCCCGGAAGGACGCCGATAGGACGGGAAGAGAAGAAGATTGCTGCTCTCTGCAGTGAAAGGAGCAGATAGGACGGGAAGAGAAGAGCACCCAGAGCAGGAGGTCTCTGTACGTACAAACGCCCTCCCCCCGAAAAGCCAATTCGCCGGCCCAACGGGCCAGAGGCGCGCTCTCCCGCAACTGCCCAACAATATTTCTAGTTCGCGCGCGCGGGGCGGGCCTTGGGGGTCCCCGGACGAAAAATACCCCGGCAAGGTCCCGGCAAGGTCCCGACAAACTCCCGGCAAGGTCCCGTTTCGAAGCCCAAGAGGGCTCCAAATCGGTCCAAGAGGCCCGAGAAACCCTCCAGACGGCCCAAGAAAGCCGGGAGACGCCGAAATATCACCCCCAAGCGCCTGCGATGGCCTCAAGACGGCCCAACAGGCCTTCAAGACGCCCATAGGTCCCTAAGCGGCGCCCCAAGAGGGCTCCCACAAGCAAAAATCGTCCCATTCCCTTGGGGCAAAGAACATGTTTAACATATCTGCCTCTTCGCCTTTCACACCTTTCATGGCGGTCCAAGCGGCCCCCAATATCACCCGAAGACGGCCCGAGAGACCTCTAGACCGCTCAAAAACGGCCCAAGAGCGCTCCAAGAAGGCCCAAGAAACCCTCACGAACTCTCTTTCGAAGCCCAGGAGGGCTCCAAATCGGTCCAAGAGGGGCCCGAGAAACCCTCCAGACGGTCCAAAGAGCCGGGAGACGCCGAAATATCACTCCCAAGCGCCTACGATGGCCTCAAGACGGCCCGACAGGCCTTCAAAACGCCCCAAGAGGTCCCTAAGAGGTCCCTGAGCGGCGTCCCAAAAGGGCTCCCACTAGCAAAAATCGTCTCATTCCTTGGGGAAACGTGAATGTTTAACATATCCGTCTCTTCGTCTTTCACACCTTTCAAGGCGGTCCAAGAGGCCCCCAATATCACCCCAAGACAGCCCGAGAGACCCTCTAGACCGCTCGAAGACGGCCCAAGAGCGCCCCAAGAAGGCCCAAGAAACCCTCAATAACTCTTTTTCGAAGCCCAGGAGGGCTCCAAATCGGTCCAAGAGGGGCCCGAGAAGCCCTCCAGACGGCCCAAGAAAGCCGGGAGACGCCGAAATATCACCCCCAAGCGCCTGCGATGGCCCCAAGACGGCCCAACAGGCCTTCAAGACGCCCCAAGAGGTCCCTAAGCGGCGCCCCAAAAGAGCTCCCACAAGCAAAAATCGTCCCATTCCTTGGAGAAGCCTGCATTTTTAACATATCCGCCTCCTCGTCTTTCACACCTTTCAAGGCGGTCCAAGAGGCCCCCAATATCACCCGAAGACGGCCCGAGAGACCTCAAGACCGCTCAAAGACGGCCCAAGAGCGCTCCAAGGAGACCCAAGAAACCCTCAAGACGGTCCAAGAGGCCCCAAAACGGCCCCATGATTGAGGTCCACAAGGGCAACCTGAACGGAAACTTTGAGCCCCCCGCCCAAACACGCCCCCGAAAGGCCCCTACAAGCCCCCAAGTAGCCCCACGAAGCCCCCAGAGCCCCAAGAGGCCCCCAACAGGCCGCAAGAAAACCCCAAGAGGCCCCCAAGAGACCCCCAGGAAGCTCCCAGGAGGCCAGGCAGACCCCCCCCCAAAAAAAAAGAGAGAAGCTTCCAAGGGCTCCCAAGACCCCACGAGGCCTCCAAGAGCTCCCAAGAAGCTGCCCAGAAGCCCCCAATGGCTCCCAAAAGGGTCACAAGTACTCCTCCTGAGAAGCTCCTTGACGCTCCCAGAAGAGACTCCCAAAAACATCCAGGAGCTCTCCGAAATGCCCCCTCCCCATATCCCCAACACTCAGTTTTTCCTCGC